TTCTGACACGAGGTGAAAAGAAAAAAAAAGATATCAATGCTTCCAATATAATTTGCTTATTGCAAGCCTTAATTATTATTGACTGACTGAAACGTTAGCAGGATTTTAAACTCTGATTGACTGAAACAATAAGTGATAAATTTAAAATTATCTAACCACCATTTATAAAGCAAAATACGTTTTTTATGAGAGTAATCTGTTTCATTTGCTGAAGAAACTTGTGATAGTTTTCAATTTCGTTTGTAAGAACTTCAGGGCGATTTTTAATTATTTTTTTTTAAAAAAAATATATGATGAAAATTTCAAAATGAAGGAACAATTAATGATTAAAAAAAACTTTCCTTATTCAAAACTCACTGTCAACTTAGTTCAGAAACTTCAACATTTTCTTCTTATCATCATAATTAATTTCATTTCTCGTATATCTAAATACTTAATATATCCACTTATAAATTTACAAATATTATAAATTTATAAAAGAACCCATTAACGGGTTTTTTAAGGGACAATTTTGCAAAAATTTATATATATATTAAAAATATATGCATTTCACTCTTAAAATTATTGATGAGTTCTCCTAAAAAATCGTATCAATTTTCGGTAGGGACATTTGGACAGATTTCATTATATTAGAGTAACTGAAAGCAAATAACATACCTGCACATTCTAAAAAACGTGAAAAAAAGCAATGATTCAAAAAATATTAATTTCAATTACCGAATTTCAGACTTCAATTGGAAACAAATTGAATGGGTAAAGGGTTCACGTTTCATTAGAACAATGCATTGCCTTGTGTAACTTCGACGAATTAATGAAAATTATTAAAACTCGGTAAAGATGTTTTATCCCCTCCACCATATTCACCAGACACTACAGTCTTAAATTTGTAATTATTTCATTCCTATAAGGATCTCCTTGAAAGAAAATAATTAGAAAAAAAAGCGCATGCCAAACGAATTTATCTGAAAAAGCATGAAAGGATTTTTATGTTACCTGAAGGATAACGAAAGAAACAGAATCAAAACTATACAATTTAGTAAATATTTATCAAAATTTATGTGTGCTGAGATTCAATTTTCCTTCGAAATTGTCACGAACTTTTCGAACCACCCAATAAGGAGTGAGTTTTTTGTTTTGTATTAACGGTTGAAACTTTTTATATCTTCTTTAGTGAAGTTAGTTAATATACTATTATATGAGACGTTTCTTTCATATTTTATTAATTGTACACGATGTTCCATCCAATCTATAGTATTCACCAAACCCCGTTTCAAAATTTCCTGCTATTTCAATCGTTTCAAAATAGTGTCACCTTTTGTTTATAATTATAATTGCCTAAATTAAAAATGCGATCAAATTTGAAGTTGAAGCATTTAACATTCTTCCATTCTGTGGAAAAATTTTAATAGAAGTAATGTTAAAAAAATTTCCATGAAAATTTAATGTGTGTCAAAGAAACAAATTTCGTGAAAAATATCAATATTTGTGGTTTTTTTCCTACAAGTCTTTCAAAACAAAAGAAGGAACGAAAACTTATTGTATTTAGCAAACTTTTAACGATAAAGTATAATTAGGCAGTGCAATACTTTTCACAAATAGTAAGAAAAAGAGGTGTTGCTTTATTAGGTAAGAGCGCTTAAAATTTTTCCTCAAAACTTTAAAGCAATAAAATGATGCGATTTGAGATTTTGAGTAAGTAATTTAAAACTACACGCTTCTCAATTTTAAAACCTAACTGATGATAAACTGAGGAAAACCGTTTTGAGTGACGCTGAAAACTTCTTTTAACGTTACTTGCATAAAAACAAAAATCTAAAAGCAGGCAACTGTACAGTGCGGCTTTGAGGAGAACTCCTCCAGACTGAAAGTCTGGGGCTGTCTGCTGCTATGGTAACAAGCGAGAGCACAAGGTGAGGACAAAACTATTCACCTCACACCCCTATTCGAAGTGACTTTTCCTCNACCATAGTACCCGCCACGACGCGAGACGGGTGTCTGGGGGAGTTCTCCTGAAAGCCGCACTATATACTACAGCGGCACCTCCAGGAAAGACCACCACTATTTACGTACGCGTTTGAGAGGCACGGAATTTTTTCCATAGACTTTATGTTGAAGAAAACCTTTAGGAGAGACCATTATTACCTCTCCTAGCCAAGAGCAAACATCTGCACCCAATACAAAAAAGGTCATCTAAAGCAATACGAAAAGATATCAAAACAAAAATTTAACAAAACAAATAAGTAAATTAAAATGAATTCAAAATATTTGTGTGAGGCTCTTATTTAAGAAAGCTCTTTTTAACCATACAACATCATGTTGCAGTCTGAATGCACTAAAAACGACACTAACAATGATTTACTTCTAAACTTGAGAAATTAAATTAGAAAAAAAAAATTATTAAAAGTCATTATAAAACATACCTTTTTTCATCTTTACTAAATTAACTCATTTTTGTGATAGAAAATTAAATGCAAACTTGAACAAAAAAACGTAATTATTTATTTATTTAAAATAGCTTTATCATTCATAATTAGTAAATTTGTTTTTACTTATAATTATATCCGTAGGGAACATTTTTATTTACGCTAAATTCTATGCATCAATCCGTCTTTCCATGACGCTAACAAAAGTGGCATTTCCGCACCAAAAAAAAGGGGGGAGGAGGAAAAAAAGACACTGACTAAAATCAAAATTGTTTGCGAAAAATCATGTACTTTCGATAACAATTTCCAACAACTATCAACAACCATTTTACTGTGGAACGCTCCTGAGATGTTTCACTATATTAAAAATTGTTGACTGCAAAATTGTATTGGCATAATTTTGTCAGGAGAAAAAAAAAAAAATGATAGAGAATATAAAATATCGCACGTTTTATATCTCAAATTGTGATTGAAGGTCTTGTAACGAAAGGCACTGTCAAATAGAGTACATGTTCATCATCAGTTTATTTGTGAAAATTAAACAAAGAAGTTTAAAAGCATATTTAGAATTTTTCTTCCCACCTTTTTGGAAGTTGAGTTAGTTCGGGAGACGTGGAACCTTTTCAAGTAAATTGTGGGGATTACTAACATGAATTAAACTAATATGAGTCATCGAATAATGAAATAAAACTAAATTGCCAAAATGAACTATTTATTAAATACTTTAAAATAAAAATAGACTTAGAACATACTTGAACTTCCAAAATAATTGGGAAAGGAAACTATGCACCCTGAAGCTGGCATAAAAGCTCAAGTAATGAAAATAATATAAAACCTTGAAGAATTCGACGATTGAATTCTAAGGTAAACACGCTATACGAAATCGCTAATCCAACTGACAAGCAGGCAAAATATTCTATCTAGTTAACAAGAGTTTCAGAGCGCATCCGTTACAAATCTACAAATAACAAAAGATTTCTTCTAACAAGTTATTGTTAGATTATTCATATACGGCTGAACATAAATCATTTTAAAGCTTTTAAACCAAATCGAACATGCTTTTTAAAGAGTAGGGCATCCATTTCATTTTTTAAGGCAAAATTAGGTGTTTTTAAAACTTCTGAATCAAAACCAATATGCTTGGGGAGTAGTGCTTCTCTTTCACATTTTAATAAAGAATGAGAAGTTCCAAATTAAATCAAATATGCTTTTTTGAAAGCGGCATCATCTTTCTTACAACTGTAAGATAGAATGTAGACGTTTTTGAATTTTTAGATCGAATCAAACAGGCCTTGGTGAGTAGTGCGTCTCCCTTACATTTTAAGATGCAATTAAACGACTTTAAAATAATGCATTAAATCAAATATGTTTTTTTTTTCAAGAGTAGTAATGGAGTTTATTTTATATTCTAAGATGAAGTAGTCTTGTTTAGGTCTCTAAATGAAATCAAATATACTTTTTTGAAAGTGGTGGCATCTCCCTCAAATTTTTAGATAAAATAAAGCGTTTTCAAACTCTTAAACTAAATAAAATATGTTTTTTAGAGAATAGTGATGTGCATCTCTTTTTTAAGATAAAATTAGACTTGTTTAAACATTATGCTTAAACAAATTAAATCAAATATGCTTTTTTGAAATTGTGGCTATCAGATTTTAGATAGAATTAAACGTTTTCGAACTACTTGACCAAATCAAATATGTATTAGGAACTGGAGCAGTACTTATCTTTTTTTAATGATAAAATCAGCCGTTTTTAAACTTTTGAATAAAATGAATATGTTTTTTTTGGGGGGGAGGGGGGTGGAGAGAATGAGAGATGGTATCAACCTTTCATTTTAAGATAATATTAGATGTTCTTAAACTTCTAAATCTAATCAAATATGTTTTTTAGGGAATAGTGCCTCTCCCTTACATTTCAATATAGAATTGGATAGATAAACTTCTGTTGCCAATCAAATATGTTTTTTTGAGAATGAGGACGCTTACCTTACATTTTGAGATAAAAAAAAAACGTGTTTAAACTTTTAAATTATACCAACTATGTTTTATTGAGTGTGGAGAGCCATTCTAGCATTTTAAGACAGAATTAGACGTTTTTGATCCTTTAAATTAGATCAAATTAGCTGTTTTTAGAGTTTCGTATTTTTAATTATGCTTCATTTTCACGTTCCAGGGCATTTTTAACTTAAAAAGTGCCCTTTTTATTGATGAAGTAGTTTTAATAAATTTTTCCAAATTGTATCAGGTATTTTTTTACTGAAAGAAATCTAAATAAATGTGTGCGTAACATTTAGAGGAACAAAAAATTTGTTAGGAAAGATAAAAAATTTATTGTAAATTTTAAACTTTTGAAAAATAATCGCAATAATTAACTAGTATCCTTATATATTTGAACTTCTGAATGGTTCATCTCCTGTCAGATCACGTGATAATCAATCTCAATTTAAAGAAGTCACATTCCATTAGATGCGTTTTATCCACAAATGAAATCGTGGTATGCCCTAATACAAAACTGTCTCTGATCCGTGACTATCGTCATTGGTCATTCAACCCAACCAATCAGAGAAGTGAAGGCGGGGCATAAGAGAATCCCTAAGGATTTGAGACACACGTGAGGGAATCGCAAGCACGAGAGGCATGGGTGAGTGAATCTTCTATTTTTTTTAGAAGCTACAAACACTTTATAAATAATGTTGTTTTAATCTTTGTTTCGAAGTGTTACTTTTCTCCTAAACGTAGATAGTCAATAGCTTAGGTCAGCATGCAAAACTTTTTATATTTCACTCGATCGGGGACCTGACCAGATAAAGAATTTTAATTTTATCCCCCCTTTTACCTGGAAATAGATAAAATTTGAAAATAAACAACATTTTTATTGTTTAAGAACTATTACGTTAAAGAACTATAAAGAACCTAACACTGTTGCAATTTTTAAATTTTATTTTATCTATACCCTTGCAATTAAAAGGGGGGAAATGCTATTATATTAAATGTTTAAGGCCTTATTGCAAACAAGACCAAGACCGTTGAGGCCTTCAGGATAATCAGATTTTTTTATTTATCTATTGGTATTTGTAACTTTTTACTGACTTAAATTACGATAGATTTTTAAGCCTCTCCGACTTCCCTTAGAAAACCCTATCTAATTTATTTTGTTAAACTATTTATGTTCCATACTTTTGGGACTCTAAACATGTGACAAAGATATTCAATAGGCGATTTTTAAGATGCAATGATAAGTGGTTTTTTCTTAATACTTACAGAAATTGTCGCTTAAAACTGTTTTTTACTTCTTTATAGGACGAATTTTTTATAGCTAGGTTTAAAAATTGTTTCTTGTTCTACGGCTATTTTGTTCTCGGTGCGTCGGAGGCTGAGGCGGTTCTGAAAACAATGCTGAGTTCTTAAAATATTTCTATTTATTCTGAAAACTATGCTGACTTTTAAACACTATTCTATTAAACGTAGTTAAAATTTTTAAATATTTTAATAAGAAATATTTTATTTCAATATTCAGTTAAATACACATTACTCGTTTTTATTTATTTTTATTTTATTTTTTGCATTCATCTACCGTCCTAGCAGCTCACCGAAGTCAAGCATCACTGGCTGCGGTCAGTGTGCGGGTGGGGACCTCTTGGATCAGTCTGCGTAGGGACCGCGGGTGTGCGGTATTGGTTCTCGTTAAACTGATCTACCGTAAAGTGCTCGACTTCGCGTGCAGGTCGTTGTACTTTTAAAGCAGGGGTGCCCTCCCCTCTGAAGAAGATCAAAATTGTGATGGCTTGTCTTCGGATCATCCTCAGGGATGTTTCCCAGACCATCGCCAATAGCCCATTGTGCAGCTCTAGTGCGACGTAAATGAACTACAACAGTTATTTGCCGTTTCCTTCCGATTCATTTCCTAGTGGGGAAACATTAGTACATTTACAATATCTAAAATCTATAGCAAAATTTGGATTATTTTTTTTCTAGACATTACATCCAAAAACATAGGTTTCTTCCCACCTTTTTGGAAGTTGAGTTAGTTCGGGAGACGTGGAACCTTTTCAAGTAAATTGTGGGGATTACTAACATGAATTAAACTAATATGAGTCATCGAATAATGAAATAAAACTAAATTGCNGAAAAGGCATTTTGAAGGATCACTGAATGAAATCATAAAGTTTCTAAATTTAGAAAAACTAAATATCATGTCATATAATGAATGATCATGCAGTTTGTTTCCTAACATAGTTTGGCAGATTTTTAGTATTTTGTAAGTGTTTTAGTATCAAATCGATCAGAATCAATTTTATTTTTATAAAAACATTTAATGTACCAAAAGTCATCTTCGAATACTTTGATTAACTACTTAGTTCTTATCTAAGTAGCTAATATTAACCTAATAACTGTCAATAACGATTAGGTTAAACTATAATTAACGATAGTTTAACTTAATTAACTACCATGATCAAATTATCCAACCTTTATTTATGTTAACAAAAATTTCGATGAAAAAAAAATTATTGTATGTTATTTTAACACTATGTGAACTGATAAGATATAATTATTATAATTTTTGCATTTTTTTAAAATTAATAATTCAGAAAAAGAGTAAACTGTTAATATTATAGTCTAGATTATTAAAAGGGTAAAATGGATGCAGTGAAACTAAAATTCCACAGATTATGTGTAAATTTTTGTTTAATTGTTTCTCAAAAGTGCATCTACAAATGATTTTGAAAATGAATCGCAATTTTTATTACAAAATTGTTTCCTTTAATTTCCAGTTTAGTTTCAAAATTGGACTCTCAAAAGTTCTATCTTAAAAACTGCCATACATTATTTTTCAGTACTAGAGAAAACGTTATATTTTCTACTTAGTTCTCAATGAATGATTGGAAAGGACCGTATTGAAATTCTTAAAACATTAAACTCTAATAAAATTAAATTTAATAGAAAATATAGATTCATATTTTAAGCTTCTTAAAATATGAAACCTATATATTATTTTATTCGTGATAGATTTCTTATTTCAATGTATAAAATAGTATGCATGCATTACATTAGTGGAAACTAACTTGAATGAATTCATAAATAGGACTAGAGTTTTTTTATAATAAATTATTATTTAGACAAGTTTTTTGTACTTTGAGGTAATTAGAAAACTCATTTATCAAAATTTGGAGTTATTATTTATAATTAGCAAAAATAAACATAAAAAACTTTAAAAATTCAACGGAACATTTTAGTTAATAGAAAAAGGGAAAAAGTATATTTAGTCCAATTAACAGAATCTGGTTTATAAAACCAATTTAGGAAATAATTGCTTTGGCATTCATTTGTGAAGAAATAATTAAAAACGTATTTCTTTCTTTTTATTTTCACGAAATCACTATAATTGTTTTAAACAAACGCTGATGAGATTGCTGATTTCTTATAAACAAATACTGGAAAAACTAAAAAAAACATTATACACAATTATATTTTTATGATTATTTTAATTCCGTTGACGAATTTCATTTATTATAAATAATGATGACAACGAATTAAATAGTTAACTTCATAAAACTTAATTCACTTTTTTTCTTCTTTTTGTAACATTCTGATAGCAATTCGACTACAATTTGAAACGGTAGATTCGATGAAAGGTCTATTGTACTATATATTGTAAGTTAAATCATAACCTTTTAAGAAACATAAAGCTCAAAGTTTTGTTTTGCTGAAGATCAAATGTTATTTAATAATGACAAGAATAAATATTTACAAAATCTTTTACTATAATCGATGTAATAGATCTAATATACTATGTGTCTATAGGAAGTACCTACTTTGCTCAAATAATTTAGGGTGAAAAAACTGAAATATCTAATTCAGTAATTCTCAACCTTTTTTGGGGGGCGGCACAGTTTTAACGATTTTGAAATTTGACGGCACACAATGAAAAAAATTTGTTTAAAAGTTGTTTACATACCTATAATACACTGTGTTAAATAGTTTATAATAATAATTTTGAATGTGAAATAAAATAATATGTTCTACAAAAGCACGTTTATTAAGGGATTAATTATTTCTTTCGACTAATTTTTTATTAGTTAGTAACAGTTATTTATTTTTATTTTTTTGCTAGTTATTAATTGTTAGCTTGTTTTCTATAGCTATTAGCTGTTATTTTTTTGTGATTTCTTGTTAACTAGTTTTTTTGCTGATTATTAATTGTTATCTTATTTTTTTGTTAGTTATCCTTTGTTAATTTGTATTGCATAGCTTACTTTAATGATTAGCTTTTATTTCAATTTGAAAGTTAATATTTAGCTTGCTTTCCTTTGTTAATTAATAATTTTAATAATCATTAAATTTCCTACTTATTTCAACATTTCTTAAAATTGTCAAAACAATTTAAACACTTCCTTCTTATTTTAAGATTGTCAGAGACAAGACAATGGCCGACAAAGATGTTCACACGGTTAAAGCATGGAAAAATTATAAAATGTGTATATTTATATATATATTATATTTTATATATATACACTTTTCTTTAATTTAAACTTTACTCGTAAT